AGCTTTCAACATTTCTCCAATTGTTTCACAACTTTTCTGATATATGTTTGAAATCTTTTTAGTCTAGAGTTTTCCCTTACTTCTTTTTTTATTTTTCTTGCTAATCAGATACAAGTCAGATACAATATGGCTTGTAAAATTTCCTACTCTCTGATTTTGCTGAACACATCACATTTTACATATTCTTCTGTTCCCTGTATTTTCTCCACTAGAGGCTTCATCAGATTCATGTTCTATTGTTTGGGAAGAATGCTTCACAGGTGATGGGAGGATGAAATGACTGGTTCTTTTTTGGTGTAAAAATCCCTTTATTTTTAAAAGATGGATAAAATTGAAGCCTCCAGGGGGTTAGGTGATTCACATATTGGTAGAACAAAATTTCAGTTTTTTGATTCTTAGTTCTCTACTCCTTTTACTATATCATATACTGTTAACAATTTGCTTAGTGATTATAATATATGAATTACTCTGCTATGTATTGCATGAAATATGGCTGCACCCATAAAGTTACCCAAGCCATAAATCCAAAAATCATCCTAGGCTTCTCCACTTCTCTTACTTCTACTAAGTCCCATTCATTTTATCTATTGAACATCTCTCTCCTTTGTTCCATGCTTTCTATCCCCACTGCTGCTGCGTTAGTTCAGATCTTTACCATCGCTTTCCTGGAACACTAAAAGAGCTTCTTAAAGCTCCCCTCCTCCATAACAATCTTGCCTTCCTCAACCCAGCTCTGCCTTATCAACAAAAGATTTGTCCAAACTGCAAATCTAAATATACTGTTTTTCTGCTTTAACTCATTGGCATGCTCTCATTTCCAAGATGGAGTCCATACTCTTTAGTGCAGCCTAAGCCCCCTCCCTCATCTGGCCTTTGCCTATCTGACTATCCTCATCTGTCCCTACTTCCACTCACTATATTCCAGTCTGTTGAATCATTGAGGTTTTCTAAATGTGCAAGCAAGGATATACAGTGGTTATAAGTGGATTGTAGAGTTAGATAGATGACTTTGATCCCTAGATTCCCCCATTTACTAGCTGTGCACCCCAGGGCATGCTTACCATCACTGTGCCTCACCTACCTCACCTGTAAAATGGGAAGAATCTCACAGAACTGTTTTCTGTGTGTGAAGGATGAGTGAAATAGCACAAATGAAGAACCAGCATGAGAGCACTCAGTGCATCCTAAATGGTGTCGGTGCATTTTTCTTCTATTTCATTTCCTTTACACCCATTCCCAAGAATGTTTTTTCTTTTCCTTCTTGATAATGTCCTCGTTATTGATATCCCAGCAAATTCCCAGTCTGATGTAAGGGCCCAGCTCCACTGCTTTTTGTCATTTAGAATTAAACCTCCTTAATTCAACAGCACCTCTAAACGTTGTAGAAATTTTGCTTGCTGTGCCCTAGGTCTATCTACACAACTGCAAAAGTTTCAAAGACATGGCAAAGATCCATCTTATGTTTGGCTCTCCATGTCTGGGAACATTCACTTTCCATTGTCCTGGGTCAGTGGAAATCTCAATAATTCAAAGTTTGGTAAATGGAGGTAAATGGAACTAAACTGATGGGGTTGAACTGAATTGGAAGAGCCTATCCAACTTCCTTTCTTATGTCTATATTTTCTAAACAACTTTTCTGTAACAAAAGATGATTTATCCAAAGCATCTATCAGGTTGACTGGCACACACATTCAAAAATAATTTTTATTAATTTTTGGTTTTTCAGGTAGACTTCACAGTTAGAGGAAGAATGAATGACTGGGCCAAAAGAATATGCAAGCTATTAAGCTAAATTTCCCTTTGCAAATGAAAAAAAAATCAGTACTTTAGTTTATCAATCAGTTCCTCATGGGTTTGGTTTTCACAAATCATTTCTATAACAACAGATCACGCTTGCCAGCTCTAATTATTTTTTCCAATACCCATAAGGAAAAAACTAAATGTGAAAATGAACAGGAAAGAAGTATACAAAAGCCCACGAAAATACCAGGTGACATCATTTACCCAACAGAAAAGGATCATATAAATAGATAGTTGAAAGAGGTTTATTTTACAAGGTAAAAAATGAAACCTGCCTCTCAGTAGTACAATCCTCAAAAATTCTAATTTTTATACTCAGCAGTATGTTTCAGGAAATATATTTTATAAATTCTGGCATTTAATGATACTAATTTATGAGCCACTGAACCATATTTCAGGAAAAAATATAAAATAATTGATATTAAAATATTGTTTATCAGTTCCTTTTCTTTATTATCAATTTCTTTCTTTCTTTTTCTGAACTGATAATGTAGCATTGTATCTGATTACAGTAAATTTTCCTTCCTTTCAACATAGTGAAAATTTGCATAATGATGAAATATTTAAATGGTTAAATCCTTTGCTATTTATTTTAATTCAAATCCAGCATATTATTATATATATTCAGAACTCAAACTATTCATCTTCATCTAAGCCTTCAATTAAATTCCACAATGCAAACCTCCTGGCACTCGAGCCACAGTTCATGTTTATTCAACTGCGCCTGTGTCTTGAAAAAGTGTTGAAGTTTGGGGGTTTTCTGGTGAGATTCCACATTCTGACATCACCTTGGCCATGTCAGTGATTGGCTGTGGGAAGGCGAAGAGGAGTTTATAGCCGGTAAGAGCAAGTGAATGAGTGAGTGAGAGAGCAGAGGAAGTATTCAATCTGGGTCACTCACTCCTGGGAGCCTGCCTTCTCACTCCAGGACTGCAAAGGGGTAAGATTTATTCTGACAACTTCATTATCTTCAAATCAAATACATCACATTTTACATCTCTGGACTTAGTTTTGAATTTTTAATTTAAATGTAGATATTAACACACTGTATAGAATTGCTATGTAATTTAAAACATCATTAAACTTACTACCTCAGATTTTGGATTCTTTCCAAAATTCTCAGTTTATTAACCTATACATGTAAATAAGTTCTTATCATGTACATAAACTAGAAAATTATGCTTCCTACTTTTCACCTCTGCACCCCAGACATAAGTGTGTTTACTTATTCTGGTTCAGCCTGATGGAAATACTATTTTGCATTTACAAATCTGCCTCGATATATGCTGAATTCTCTGTCAATTATACCTAATCTGTACTTTAATTATAAGCAATATCTTGTCAATATGTTATATATTCAGTTTCAACGTGTTAATATCCTATAGCTCTAAAATCAGAATGGAAAAGTGTATAGTACTAGGGAAATGAATAATGTCTTTAGTTTATCATACTCCTCCCAATAAAAACTTGCAATTAGATTCTCAAAACAATTCTTTAAGAACGTTTGAATTGTTGTCTGGGTTAGTAGTGGGCACTGTGAGGTCTTTGCTTTTGATGAATCACAAAGTAAATAAAATGAGATTTATGTAGGCAGCCAACTGCTGCCTACAAGAATCCTTTGGTTCTTTTTATACTATTCCTGGTACGTTTTTATGTAGTTGTTTTTATGGTTTGTTATGAGAAATTTTATACTCGGAACTCTTTCTACAGTTCCATGTATTTAAGTTTTTAGCTCTTTAAGATATTGTAATTATTCCAACCTTTTTCATAAAACTGCAGAGCAATAGTCTTTCTGTTTGTTGTGGGCTGCATGACAGGTGGCCAAGTTCCAAATGTTATTCAGAGCCCCCCAATAGCAATGAAAGCTTTTTAACCAGATGGACCCCCTTGAGGGGCAAAGCCTCTTTATCCCCGTGTGCCCACCAGAAACTTTCACCAAAGTAGATGGGACTGTAAGCAAGTTTGTAGGCATCAAAATCAAAAGACCTACTCGGCCACAGATAAAGTATAAATGAGTACCCAAGACAGCTTCTCCAGGCCTTAAGCCATACCCTGCTTAATGTTTAGTGTCAGACACTCAAAAGGAGGCAATAAATCTTGGCTAATGATGATAAAATGCAAAATCTAGCTTCAGGGTATAGTATATGACATGGGTTTCATGCATTTTAAATATTGCTTTTCCTAGTATGTTTATGGGGAAATATTGCTTCTAAAACGTTGCCAAAGCTGTCACTCTGGAGGAGAGAGTGCTCTCAGTTAAATGTGTTTCTCAATGCAAGTGCTGGGTGTTAGTGGTTTTCAGCTACATTTGTTCAACTTCTATTCAGATAGGATTTCATCAAAGGGAATAAAATTAAGATAGGCTTTCCCTATCGCTCTCCTTTTACCTCTGAGAAATCTATGTGGAGCTGAGATCTTTGAAGGCTCAAACCCCAGGAATGACCACAAACTTTTCCTATTCTGAGAGCGGCATCTTTAATTCTTCCATAGAACTGAAGTCTCCATCATGGCTCCAACCCTGACCTTGAAGAGCCCCACATCCATTCCACAAAAATCTCCCCCACTTATGATGGAAAGCTTAAATGGAGCTGGGGAACAATGTAACTTGAGGGCATTTGCCTCTAATATCCCAAGATGAACTCTGATATCTCGTCTCACAATAGTCATCCTTAAACATGGATACTGGGTACCACGTTATGAGAATAATATTTCACATATCATGGATCTTTGCACATACTTAATCAATATCAAGTATTCTAAGATATTCATTGGATAATGGCACCTAGTCTCCACTTTACAAATTAATTTTTAGTTCAAAAGCTATATAGAGGCTGGAAACTGCCTCTAGGATAATCAGCATAAAAGCTATCATTTGAATGTATTCAGTTTTTGCTTCGTTTTTCATGTAAACAAAACAAACAGATGACATGACCACACTGCTGATGTTCCCGTGTCAATGATATTAGGAGACCTTCTTGCCCTACTGTGAAGGATTCTAAGCATTCAAGCCCCTGGCAGTGACGAAATGGCCTTCCATTGACAAGTCAGAGTGGAGAGGTTAAAACCAAATATGGAACTCACCATTATTCAAATAGACGGGTAAAGTCAGCCTTCCACCACTCAAATAGAAGGAAAAATGTTAGAACAAAAGCAGAAATTTTTTCTAATTAGTCAAAACCATAACTGGACAAAAATGAAAATAAATTAAATATTTCATCTCCTAGTATGAGCACAAAAGTTACACTCTTAGTTTTATGCAATAACTTTACCACTTCATTAATTCCAGAAGCAATCACCAAGATGAAGACAGCTTTAATTTTGCTCAGCATTTTGGGAATGGCCTGTGCTTTCTCAGTAAGTTCTTTATTAAAAAAACCTAGAGTTATTTCCAATTTTGTCTTTCTATATTTAAGAGAGAATATGTAATAATTAAATGCTCTTTCAAACAGATGAAAAATTTGCATCAAAGAGCCAAATTAGAGGACTCTGAAGAAAATGGGGTAATTCATTTTTTACATACTTCCTTGGCTTGACTACATTTATCTAGATTTACTGCACATGAAACGTGAATCTATCATTTATTGTGTTTATGCAGGTCTTTAAGTACCGGCCCCGATATTATCTTTACAAGCATGCCTACTTTTATCCTCCTCTAAAACGATTTCCAGTTCAGGTAAGTATAAAAATTAATTTTCCTTCCCACCTATTACAATTAAAAGGGAATCAAATTTAAGTATGAAACACCTAAATTCAACTCTCACTAAAATTCAGCCAGGAAGATCACCTACTATAAACAGTTTGTTTTTAATATAATAAAATAAAATGTATTCCTAAGTTTTCTTTTAAAGCAGAGGTACACACACACAGCAAACTCATTTGGGTTCAGGCTAGAATGATATAATTAAAGCAAACACCATAGCACACTGAGTTCAGGTATTTTTGGCTAATTCACCAACAAAAGTGGACAATTTTATCAATAGTTAACAATTAGGTCAGTGATAAGGCCACTAACTGCCATACTATAGTTGTCATATAGCTGTTTTACTGTCATATAGCTATTTCACACTGAATAATTTAGAGTCCTTTAAGAAGGACTTAAGAAGAAAAATTGACTCATGAACAGCAGACACCATTAAAATAAAAATTCCTGACAATCAATGGCTTGCTGAAGATTTTCCCAGACTTTGACTTGTGTGGTTCACTAGAACAACACATCACGCTTTGGAGCATTACTCTAGTGGAAATGTCACTCGAGAACTGCACAGGAAAGAGAGAAATTCATGAAGTGAACTGAAAAGCTTGTGAGAAAGACAGAACATCCTCAAAATTTGTAAACAAACAAACAAAAAATAACTACACACTAAAAATAAGAGCTTCTGTTTTTACTGGGTTACCTGTGAAGAGGGTTCTGAAAACTGGAGGGTGTGGTGCTGATCTTAAATAGACAACAAGCCAGAATTGTGCTATTTTTATTACTATACAGTTTGGGTTCAGGGCACCAATTATGCACCATCTGACCCAGGACTCCTGAGACATGAAAAGCAGTCAGGATGCTGAAAACGGTGCCTCAGCACAGTGGCTTGGCATAGCATCTTACCATATGTTGGGCTAACCCATCTCTAACTCATACAGTGATAGGAAATGATCATCTTAAAGTATTTCTAGTACCATAATAATTATGGGGAATGTGTGTGGCCACAGAAATATGAGCACAAATGATACAAAGGCTGTGGGCTTTCAGAATTGCCTTCCATTCTTTGGTTTGCCCATAAATAAACAGTGCTCATTTGAAGCTTTGTTGTCTTTCTTAAATGAAATGGAAATGACAATAAATTTAAGTTTCTGATTACCCCCTCAACTTTTCTAAAATATCATATACTTAGAGATATTCCCACCTAGAAATTTTTATAGATACAGATGTGTGGCCCAATGCAAGTGTCTGTAGTGAAAAGATAATAGGACAGTTTATATCTTTCCTTATTGATAGACCCAAAGCTCACAGACTCTTGAGGAGATCTTTAATACACAAAATTTCCACAGATCATACACAGACAGGTCTATCTCAACCAATGTAGAATCTGTAAATTAGAGAGCTGTTTTCAGGTAGAATCCAATAACATGTATCTCCCAATTCAACAGTCTGATCTAGTGTTTATGATCTGTTGTCTTACTTTACAGTTTGATTTCCAAGGTTTCTCCCCGTATGTGTCTACTTTTATGTTTCCATAGCTCTTTATTATTTATTTTCTTAAGCCTTGTTAAGTATTTAGTGCCCAAATTCTCACCCCAAAATGCATTAAGCTTCATTGGCTTTAAAATTCATGTTTTATCCAAACAAATAGAAGCAGTTCCAACAGAGCCTTATGCTTTATTCACCTCTGGGCTAGGGAAGGCACAACCATTAAGGTCATGGCAATGGAAGAGCAGGTCTAATTATTCTCTTTTCCACCCAAAGTTATTCTTGGCTCCAGGGCACAAGCATTCCCTTTCCCTGGGCGGATGGTGCAGCCACCTGGAGAATGAGCCCAACGCGGGGAGCCCTGAGAAGGGTTGGGACAGAAGTGTTTTCTCTGATCTCTGACCCTAAGGTCCTTCTGCAGTTATATTTTCTAAGATCCAGGGTACTTAAATGAGTCACCAGAATCAAAGATAAATTTGCAGGACAGAAAATGACAGAATCTTAAGTTGGGTATCTACTTGTATACTTAGTGTCATTAAGAAGTGGTTGCAGAAAAGGAAGGAAAATCTAATTTGGGCCAACATTGGGACAGATGAAGCATCTCCACTACTGTCTTAAAGGCTCAGATAACAGATGTTTAGATATACATTTCCTTTTAAAAAGTAGCAAAGTTCATTAACTTACGATTTTATTTTTATACACAGACTCTTTAATTTATTCTCATTCAAAATTGAGCTTTTTAGAGAAATAGTACTCATACATTTCTTACGTGAGTAGATGAATTTTCCTCTTATATAACTATACACACACACACACATACACTTCATTGAGGGATTAGCTTTAATTAGATTAAAATATACTAAAAATTATACACAAATTTAATTTCAAGTCAAATTCCAATTTAAATTCACCAGGAGAACTCATTATTTAAGAAAATCATCCAGTAACAACTTACATTTTATGATAAGCTTAGTCATCATTTCATTCATATAATCATAAAGAAAATAAAACAATGAGATCTATGTCTTAGCCCAAGATTTGTCTTGAACTGATTGGAGAAGTCACAACCATTGTGGACTTCAGATTCCTTCTCTGTAAAATCAAGAAATTGGACCAGATAATCCTCTTGTTCTCTCAGAGCTAAGCCACACTGTGATTCATTGCTCTAGTTTTCACGTAGAATATGTTTCAACATATTGTTAATGCTTTCGAGGTTGAAAATGGAGCATTTCAATGCATATCTTGATCACTGTAAGATGCCCTTCTCTCTAACCTCATTTTATTTATGTCCAGTCCCCTCATATCTTTCTCACAGCAGCATGAGGGTTATCCTAAGTAAGTAAATAAATGTATGTACATATATATTCGTACACATATGGATTCATGTATACGTACTTTTTTAGAGCAGCAGTGACTCATCTGAAGAAAACGGAGATGGTGATAGCTCAGAAGAGGAGGAAGAAGAGGTAAGGAATTTCTGCAGGTTTTTTCATAACCAGGAAGCACAAAAAACAAATAGGAGACTAGTCTCCTGTACTCCAGACTCAGCAAATAACCATCGCCAGCTTACCAACTGCCCACAGTCTTCTATTTTGGACAAATGGAATGTTATTTAAATTAAAACTAACTAAAATGACCTGTTTAAAACACTATTGCAGTTTGGGGTTAAAGTTACCTGTACGTGGTACACAAATACAAAAGTGTCTCTATTTTAAGTGGAAGAAATATAAATTCTGATCAAAAAAAGAAGTGTTATTTATATTTAGGTGGATTGAGCATGATAGTAAAAGACAAATACACAATAATCCTAAACTCAGTGCAATACTTGTTTTAAGGACTAAACTTGAAAAATTCAATTTAATAAGTGGGTAGTATATGAAAGCTAATCTTACATCCTCTATGATGTTATTGCGATTCATCTGCCTTTCTGGACTCATAAAGTAGTTCTTTTCTACTTGTTCTTCCTAATTGGAATTTCATGTCTTTTTCCCTAATAATAAAATTCATGTTTTCATAGAAATGCAAATAATCAAGATGTACAGATACCTTACTATACAGTACAACAAATTAGTGTAGTTTGTGGCTAAAATTCATCCATAGAACTTGGAAATTGTGCTAACGTGTTTATAACTGACACTCTTGCCCATGGAAACATACTAATTAGGTACATTTTTCTGGATAGTCAATTATAGCCACCCACTGGTTTAGGAACCTTCTAAATTCAGGTATTCTTAGATGCTATTTATGAAGGGACAATGACAGTCCAAATGGATCATGGGTAAACGTCTACTGTCCTGAAAACAAAGTGGTGTGGGAAGTTTAAAAGTGACAAATAATTAGTTTGATATTTTTAAAAACCATTTTATGTTACTTTTAGTAACATTTTCAGTACCATAATTTACCCCAATAGCTTTTAAACGAAGACCTTACAAGAATGTTGTCAGTACCAAGAAAAATGCCACCTACTAAATCCCACAAAATTTTGCCTGGAGTTCCACATAATAATCTTACTCAAGGGCTAAACTAGGGTAATCCATTTCACTACAGCTGTTTGCCGTACAATGACTGCAAAATTGCCTTGCCAGCTAGATTTCCCAACTAGACTGCGTACCTTTTGGCACTGGTTCTTCATTTGTTGTGATGGTGGACTCTGATGAAATCCCACATACTTAATATTTTGCCAACAATCTCTGAACATTTATGGTCCTCCCAGAACTCATCTGCAAACTGCATGACCCGGAGACTAGAGACCTTGGGTTACAATCCCTGCTTTGAGGAGGAGCAGTGCTGTACCCTCACTGCCTCGCCCAGTTTCTTGTACACATATAGTGCCTGGTAAATGTTTGCTGATTTGGTTTTGAAACTTCAGAGGGCACTTATTAAATGCTCCAAAGACCATTTATTCAAAGTGATAACAGAAAACCAAATGAATAAAACTGGGAATTGCCCATCCTGAAGAGAGTTTAAAACCTCTCTGTTTCACCATTTCTTCCCTAAAATTTCATTGGCAATTCAGGTTAAATAGAGTCCCTAAGAATTATATTCCCATGAGAAGGTGCTTAGGCATATTTTCTATTTAAAGATAATACATTTTTCCTACTCCTAAATTATTCAGTTTCACTTTTTAAAAACTTTTATTGAAATATAATGTACCTAATAACACAATTATCATAAGTGTACAGATGACTAAAATTTCAAAAATTGAACACTCAAGAGTAATTGGCCCCCGTATAAAAAAGCAGCACATGCTTTGTGCTCCATTCCATTCATTAACCATCCCCACCACAGGCAACTGCTATGTTGACTCCTAAAAGGTAGATTGCTCTTGGCTCTTTTTGTGTTATACATGGAATCGCACAGCGCCTGCTCTTTTGCGTGTGGCCTCTTCCACTCTCAGCTTCAGAGGTTGACCCATTTGGTTCTATAGCTGTAAATCGTTCATTCTCATCATCAGTGTTTTATTATATAAATGTACCACAATGTGTTATTCTTCTGTTGATGGGCATCTGGGGAGTTTTCAGGTCTGGGCTATGACAGAAAAGCACTTCTGTGAACATTCTAGTCCTCCTTGGTGAACATATGAAACGTCCAGACTTCAAAAGGTCTGCTTCAACCTGATGAAATGCAACCAAACAGCTTCCCAAAGCTGATACTCTGATGTAAATTCCCACCATCTGCATACGCGCCTTCTGGTGGCTCTGCATTCTCACCAACGCTTGTTCCTTTCAGTATTTTTAGCCATTCTAGGGGGCTAGTAACACTTTCTAAGCACACATTATTGCTGATTTGTCTATTCAAAAAGATATATAAGGCCTAATACCCATCAAAAGACTGACCTATTTTCCTTTTTAACTCACTGCAGCAGAACATCATTAAATAAAGTACTAGGACAAGAGCGGGTGTCATAGGAGAAAATGTAGAATCCGATTGGTTGGGAGTTCAGGTCTGCAGTCATGACTCAGCCGCAAATGAACTGCCATCTCTTTGACCTCATCCAAGTCATTTATCCCATTGGACTTCAGGTTTTTCAAGGAGTAAGAGCGCAGGACCCAGCCTGTATCTTCTCCTTCTCTAAGCATCTTTCTGCCTTCTCCCCTGAAAGGGTTAGCCTGTTGGACTAAAGCATATAAACATGAAAAAAACAAATAAACAATATGGTGTTTTTGGGATATTTGACACAATTAGCTTGGAGACTGTTTTGGGGTGGACTCTACTACTCCCACGAGTTCATTGAAACAGTGGAATTACAAATCAAGAGAAACAAACACAGTCTTCTTTAGTTACTTTGTTTTAATAATAAGGTAGGCTAAATCTGAGTTTTGTTTGTTTGTTTTTAAAGTCTTAAAATACAGGCTGCCTAGTTTAAAGTTATCCTAACATCACAATCCTTTAAAAGTACACTGAAATAAATTCAACTTTCTAGTACTCATTTAAAGTAAATAAATTCTCTGTATGAATTCCTGACTTTAAATATTAGCAATGAATTACATTGGGAAATTAATTCAATCAACAATTGCCTAACAACATGGAGTAAAGGCAAAAGAATAAAATGTTAAAGATGATAGTAACATTCAGTTGAAGAGTGGTAATTTTTAAAAAAAAAACCTTCATGCAATAACATAATAATATCACTAAGGATTTCTTGAAGTGTTTAGTTTCTTCATTGCACAGAAGAATTGTATGTCAAATGCTTGAAATCTTTTGAATACTTCACACAGCACAGAACTGGCTTATATATCAGCAGATGGATTTTTAATTTAATATATCTTTTTTTTCTTTAAAAGCTCCTGAAAATAAATGAAATACATTCACTTCTTTTTGGTAGAAAATAAGACATGCAATCGATTTGTTTGAAGACAGGGGTTTCTATAAAAAATTTCTTCCTGAAAAAATCTCCTAGGTGTAGTGTAGACAATTCGCATAAAACCTAATCATCATCAAAAATGTCCTGGTGTAATAGAAAGGCTCAGCTTTTTTTAGTTTAGAAAGATATAGTTTCATCACTTAGTATGAGACTTTGAACACGTTATTTAACTTTTCTGAGTTCACTTTCCTTATCTAAAGAGTGTGAGTAATAATTCTACCTTGCAAGGCTGCTAAAAGGAATAAAAATAGGTATAAAGTTCTCAGCTGATTTGTCAGCAAATACAATAATTAACATACTATCATGTCATGTAGTTATTAACAAGACTTCAAGGGCCTAAGCCATGTATGGTATGACACCATACAGTCAGATATGCTGAAACTATTACACAAATATTTTTGAATTGATTAAATACAACTTAGAAATATCTGAAACACACTACAGTGAAGTAAATACAATGAGAAAACGGAATTGAGTTCTGAGAAGTGAAAGGTGCAAACGGCGTAAGAGGAAGCAGAATCGTAACATCGGGTGACAAGCTGGCTGAGGGATATGGAGCTTTTTTCCAGTAATGGTTCATGATTCCAGCAAATCTTGAGTTATCGTCTGGCTAAAATAACTTTTCTTGTTCTGGACATTTCCCCCAGGAGACTTCAAATGAGGAAGAAAACAATGAAGAAAATGAAGATTCTGATGCAAATGAAGATGAAGAATCTGAGGCTGAGAACGCCACCCTTTCCACTACCACGCTTGGCTATGGAGAGGAGATCACACCTGGAACTGGGAGTATAGGTCTGGCTGGCATCCAACTTCCCAAGAAGGTAACAGCTCCTCCAAAATGTTGAATCTGACCTCATTTCTTTACTGAAGTCTGAGGTTATCCTGACACTATACACTGAGTATTTTATACTACCTTCGTTAATTCATGAAAAAGTAAGAACAGGTACAATGCCCTTATTTACAAATAAGAAAGATCTTCTTCCAGGCAAGTCCTCTCCCCATGTTGTTACACTGACTTTCGGCACTATCACAGAACGCTAAGGATGAGCACTGTAGCAAAGGATATAAGGTCCCGAGAGATGCCATTGCATGTCAGGGGAGAGGATTCCGAGACAGAGAAAGTGAGCAGCAAAGCTATAGAAGGCATCTCCCACAGAGAAGACGTACTTACCAGGTTTCTCTCTCTCTGCCAAAACCCAATGATAACAGCACTAATTCAGAATTTTTAACCCCCCCCCCCAACTAATCGGCTTCAGTTCAAAAGTACACATAGAACAAGGCTGACAGCACAGCCTGTGTTGGACCAAGTATGGCCTTAAGTTCTCTGTTTTACACACTTAGATTTGGATTCTTTCAAACTTTTTCTTACAGGCTGGGAATATAGGAAAGAAGGCTACAAAAGAGGAGGAAAGTGATGAAGAAGAGGAGGAAGAGGAAGAAGATGAAAACGAAGAGAATGAAGCAGAAGTGGACGATAACGAGCAAGTCACCAACGGCACCAGCACCAACAGCACAGAGGTGGACTCTGGCAACGGCAGCAGCGGTGGGGACCGTGGAGAGGAAGAGGGCGTCACTGACGCCAGCGCAGAAGGAACCACAGTGGCTGGAGGGCAGGGCGACGGTGGCTCTAAGGTCACCGCCTCTCCAAATGGCAGGTTTGTGCCTACGCCTCCACCCAGGGAGGTCCATGGGACCACCCCGCCCCCAGCTGGGAAAACCACCACCCCTGGATTCGAGGAGTATGAACAAACAGGCACCAGTGAGTATGACACTGGATATGAAATCTACGAAAATGAGAATGGGGACCCACGTGGGGACAACTTCCGAGCCTATGAGGATGAGTACAGCTACTACAAAGGGCGTGGCTATGACAGCTATGACGGTCAAGATTACTCCTACCACCAGTGAGGGCCCAGACCGGGGCGGACTCACCCGCGCTGGCGTCATGTGTGGCTACCGTTTTCCAAGTTCAACTCAGGAAGGTGCAATACAACAAACGTGCATATTATAACGTGGAATGGTGCTGCTGTTCCAAAGTGGCCCTCTGCAGTTGCTTCTGCAGGTGATGGGCTTCCTGTTGCTTTTCCCTGGTATGTTATTGAAAGGCTGTAAATCAGGGTCGTTGGTCAAGTGGTAAACCAGTGCATGAGACCGAGTGCGACTGAATGATTTGAGGTTGTAGTTCTATAAATAGTATTTTAATGTGTTTGCACTAACTGCTAAAACATACTCTTTGTGCAAGAAGTGCTTCTTAGAAGAGATTCATTGACATTATTAGTAACACTGTATACAATAAATGTGTAGTTCTTTAATCACGTTACCTAACCATCACTGTATATTAGGTTTAATAATCATCCTCATGTATTTTTATGTGACCTGTATGTATATTCTATCAATGGGTTTTATCACAAATAAAAATGCAATCCTTCAAATGTGTTATAATTAAGAAGAAAAATGAGAGATTTAGAACTGAAAAAGGTAAGACCAGTGGGAGGACAATTCAGCTGAAGGATGAAAGCTTTTTTCCACTACGGTTTAAAACTCAGAAGGACTATAGCCATTTTCTCATGGATAGGTCAACATAACTAAGATTTTGACTTGCTTGTGGGCCGGGTCCGCCATGCACATTGGGGGAATAAATGGCTTTTATTGGCGTTGCCGAATTTGACAAATAAAAATGTAGGATGCCTGGTGAAGTTTGAATTTCAGATAAACAATGAATAATGTTTTAGTATACATATGCTCCATGCAGTATCTGGCCTTTGTGAAATATTGGGGACATATTTCTGCTAAATTAAGGATTCACTGCCTAAAATTCAAGTTTGACTGAATGTCCTGTGGTATACCTGGCAACCCTACTCCTATTTGATTTGGTTTTAGGTGGAAGAGAGATGGGATGGGGTAGAAAACTCTTAAACATACACATCAACTCATCATCTCCTAACTTTTTACTTTGAAAAATACCAAGCCTTCAGGAAAGTTAGAAGATGAGGATGTGAGCATGTAGATTCACCCGTGGTGAACCTTTTGCCGTATTTACATGATCACTTTCCATTTCTGTGTGCCTCTCTTCAGTTTCATCTACTTCTTTCCCAAACCATTAACGATTGAAGACATCATGGCATCACAATGCTTCACCCCTCAATACTTCAGCACTTAGCATTAGAACAAGGAATTCTCCTACAGAGCCACCATATCATCCTCATTCTCAAGAAATTTCACATAAATAGGATAATATTTTCTAATATACAGTCCTTATTCAAAATTTCCCAGCTATTCTAACAATGTCATTTATTGCTAACTCATTTAATCCTCACAAAACCCTGTCAGGTAGGTACTATTATTCTCCATGTTATTGACGAAGGGACCAAGGCATGAAGAGGTTAAGCAGCTGGCACCAGGTCACAACGGCAAAGCTGAGGTTAAAACAGAGGCAGACTGGCTTTAGAATCTGTTCTCTTGACCGTTAGCGTATATATTCATCAGGAATGGACGTTGAGCCAGGAGTGGGCAGGAAATCTCTAATGATGAGAACATTGCTGAAAAATAAGCCTTGTCCTCTATCACAATTTTCTATGCCAGCTGTGTTTCTATACCAGCTGTGTTTTATGACTTGAGTTCTAAAGAAAATTTTCAAAGCAAAGATCCTCTGATATTTTTGGTGTACCTTTCTGTATAGACTGCTTGGCATTGTGCAAGTGCATGAGCTCTGGAGTTAGGTGAGCTTGAATAATGGTGCTACTGAGAGTAAATGAATTTTCTTTCCCGCTCTTTGTTCCCACACCTCCTACATAAGGAGTGTATGCAGCAGCTTGCTGTTCAGAGTCTGACATGTTATGAGCTGTTCAGAGCATCACATCTCTCCTCTCCAGCCCCTTCTTTTCCATCTTAATACTTAGGTGCAGCTGATTGTAACAGAATTAGCTGGCCATAAAAATCGTCTTTTGGTAACTCACAGAACATTTCCCCCTTGTCCTAATGCATCTTTGTAAGCAAAAGCTTTTGATGAGTTGGAGGCCTTGGGAACAACATGACAAATACTATATATTAGGCAATATAGATAATCTGTACTGTTTATCTGTGACATTGTCACAGACTGTCTCAATATAGGATACAATGATCAAATCTTAGATTTAGGAAGGATGTCTGAGCTCTCTGAACTTTATCAATATTTTGAAGTTACTCATTTTTATATAGCAAAATCAGTTAATTTTTTCTATCATTATTATTATTATTATTATTATTATTATTATTATTATTATTATTATTATTATTATTATTTGCTTTTAACCTGTAATGTGGGCATCCACTCCCCAGTATCCTAGCTCAGGGATTTGAGCTAGTTTACTTCAGTCCCTGAGCGTGGAATGGTAACTATTCTCTACCATTGCTCCAAGCATCTAGGAGTCTCCTTTAGAGGAGTGGCTCTTTTTAAAAGGAGAACTGTGCCAAGGCATTCACTTGGGGGTATGCAATGGAAGCAGAGGAAAGATTTACAGCCTAGTCTAGACACCAGCACAAATGGATACTCGGATGGTGAGGCCCGTGGACCACCAACTCCCCAGGGCCTAGATGGAGGCAACGTGACATTCCTGGATGAAGACTGAGGGATGGGATGATGAGGGCTATGATTGAACTCTGCCCCTAGGCACCCTAACGCTGCCCCTCCCAGGAGTTCTCTCAGCCATGTCATGCTGTATCTTCTGCATGGAAGCATCCTCTTGAAATACTTTTCCTACTTAGAACTAGAGTTCCAGTCTCTCCCTGCCATTCTAGCCAGCTAGCCTCCCTGGCCTCTTGCTCCAAATTCCCTTTGACCTTCCCCAGCAGAAGCTCTCTCTTCTGTAATCTCTCATAGCATCCATTGATGGCCTATCTGGAAGAAACTTGACAAGAATTCAGATTATTAGAAAAGAAAGGGGAACATTTTTATTCTTCCCAGAGAAAGATAATCCTTCCCCCCCGAGAATGAATCAAATGACTCTTTAAATGGAGAAGAGATAAAAAGTGAAATAAACTATGCTTATGTTGAGGGTGGTGGAGGTGATGAAGTTGGTTATTTATGTTCTCTGACACATAGAAAATTCTTTTGTCCTCATTTAAATGCAGAAACCAACTTGTAAGTGTCTCAGAGCTCCTAGGCGCCTGTTAATATCTGTTCTCCTCTCTTTCTCTGAGTAACAGAACCCTGGTTTTTTATCTAAGCTGGTGCCTACAGAATAAATTCTAATTTCTTCCACTTCCCTTGGAGCTAGATGTGTCCATTTGATTTACGTTCTGGCCACATCATGGGTACATTTCTTGTTTGTCTCCCTCAAGAGAAGTCTTATTCTCTCGCTCTTTTTCTCATTTCTCCCTCCTGCTGGCTGGAATTCAGCCACGGCAGCGAGCCATCTACAACAATCTCTGGATGGCAAGGTAGCTCGATAGAAAAGGTCTGGCTTTAAGGAGCGCCACACCAGCCCTGGACATCTGACTTCCGGAGATAAACTTCCATTTTTTAAGCCACTTTGATTGTGGGTCTCTGTTCTTTATCTGAAAATTACATTGTAACCCAGTAGTTCCCAAAATGTAGCCATCAAAACTGTAGCATCAGCATCACCAGAGAACTCATTAGAAATGCAAATTCTGGAGTTGCATCCAAGATCTTCAGAATCAGAAACAGAAGATGGACAGTTTGAGAACCTTCAAGTTCAATAACCACTATTTTCATTAGTATAATAGCTAATGCTTATTATGCACTTGCTGCATGCCAGTTGGTCCCTAAGTATTTTACATATATTACTTCATTTAATCCTTACACTTACTGGAAGTCAACTCCATTTTACAAGTAAGGACACTGAATTACAGAGACGTTTAGTAACCTGCCTGAGATGACAGTGCTGGTAAGTGGAGCAAAGGAGACTGGCCTAGGATTCATGCCCCAGGGACCACTCAGAGCTTCTTTCTTCATACAGAAAGGACACCCTGTTAAGATAAGCGAATCTAACGAGGAATCAGAAGAGGACATTCTGGATAAGAGGACATGTAACAACCCTATCGATGTTTCATTTCTTTGCCCTTCAGAGTTAATTAAGAAGATAATGTTTCCACAGCTTTCATGTCATGCTCAGGTGATCCAAGGAGGATCTCTTTGAGAACAAAGACTGTTAGTAAACAAGGAGAATCTCCGTTCATGCTGCTGTCAGAACAGGACAAGACCTCCTCCCTGTCAAGCAGTCAGGCAGTCCCCACACAGGGCGTGACTGTAACAGGGCTGCGAGGATCTGACTGCAGCTGTTCGGTTTGCTTACCACAGCTCCACAGACAGCCGGTAGGGGGACCCTCGGCGCAAATGGAGTCAAACAGTTCACACAGAAGCACAAGCGGGATCAGCATGAGGTCTGCTCCCTGTATCCCTGGTCCCATGGGATGACCATGACCAGAGGGGCAGGCGACAGACAGCACAGGTGGCAGGGCATTCTGCTGTGGAGCGCCAGTTCCCCCCTCAGCCAAGCAGGTAGACCTGAGCAAAAGTCTGCGATTGAACCCTAAGTGGGTGTAGTTGAAAGTCCTGTGCTCTACTGACTACCAGGCATTTTGCCAAGACTTGGGTTGGACTGCAGTCAGTTCTTGCCCATGTGGTCTCTATGGAAACCGGCAAGGTTGTCAGGGAGCTGGTCCCCTATATGCCTCTTCCAGACACTGAGGTCTGGAAGGCCCATGAGTGTCCCGGACCATTTAAGGAAGGCTGGCCACACAGGGGAGTTCAGATGGGCTAAGAAAGGTCTTAGGGCATGAAACGTGGTTACTTCTGCAAGACAATTCATGGCGACCTGTGGGTCCTCACCAGACAACAGTATGCTAATTGGCCTTCTTGCACAGGCCACACTTCAGGGGTGGATGGTCTCTGAGTATTAGCATGGCCACAGGGTAGCTGCTTCTGAGAGATGACTCTGCCCCTCTCCTTGTGGTCACCCGAGGCCTGTCCCCTCATTTCAAGTCCCCCTTATCTCCTTCAACATGATGCCTCAGTCATCCCCAGCTGGCAGCCAGGGTGAGCCGTATTTAATCCGTGGGGAGCATGAATAGCCCCCTTCCTTTTCAATTTATTATTGTAACGTAAAGTCTATACTTTGCCCCTTTCGTGGCTGACCCTGTTGGTTTTCTAACATCCTTTCCTCCCTTAACGAGATTTTCGCCTTGCAAAACTAAAGCTTTGGCTTTCAAGATGATTGCTTCTGCCAAGAGTTTCAAGAGCCTGTTTCAGAACAGACAAACCAAATTTTGACTTTCTCTCTATTTGGATTCCTCTTATTTAAAAAAAAAAATCCATCTCTAGGCGAAGTGAATCCCTCTGAATGAGAAGAGAAGAAATAATGAAA